CAGAAATAAAAAGCAAAAAATCACCCCCCAGGGGGATGGCCAGACTATAATTCCTTCTCCTCCTTTCTCCTCTCAGGATCTTGGGCACAGACACACACACGCCAGGCATGAGTTTAAGCCACCAGGTCTGGGACTCGAACTGCAGTCGACTACATTGGAGTTCAGTGACATAACCATTAAGCCAACTGCTGGTCCCATCCTTTCACTCTCATGTCTCAGTTCAGTTTCACTTCTGCAAGGGACCTTTCCGTGCATCCTCACCCTGTTCAATCCCCAGGCACTCTGCATGGTCCCCAGCACCATGGTGACTTTCCATTATTCAAGAGACTCTGAGATCATCTTGTCTCTCCTCTCTCAGGAGACTGGAGAAGGCTGGGACCCTATCATTGCTGCTCACGGCCATGTCTAGTCCCTGGCAGAGGCAGCTGCTCAGCCACTGTGCATTCTCCGAATATTACACACACCACAACACACACAGCTCACTCTTTCTCTCACTTCCCGCCACCAGATGTGCACGTGCAGAGCTCTCAGGGTCTGCTGGCAGTGCACTCTGTTTTACAAACAAGGAGGCCAGGGCATTATAGCAGGTGACAACTTGCCCCCGCCATGTACCTAGAACCTGAACAGGCCTGCAGGGGTTGAAGGTCCTGCAGAAACCCAGAGGGCCAGGGGCATCTGGAGGCTCCCACACTTCTTCAGGACACTCACCAATGTACACCAAGCACCAGTGAGGCAGTGGATCGTGGATTGGGGCTTGGAAGTACCCGAGCAGGTTTCTCCAGAGTGGCTTGTGGCTGTTTCCTCAGGTTAGCCTGACCCCTAATCCCAGCCAAGAGAGCATCTCAAGGCCCTTAAGAACAGTGATGATATGCACGAACAACAGTGCAGGCCCTGCTGGACTCTAGCAGACACATAGGCAGGATCAGCTGACCACAACCAAGTCTGCTTGGGCAGAACGACCTGCTGGGAACCTGCCACGTCCATGTAGACCATGTGGACTCGGTGCTTACAGCTTCGGATCCCCCTGAGCGCTGACCATGAGAGGAAGTGACTCAGCCACAGTTGGTGCCTCAGCCACACGAATGTCCCTGAGAGCTGAGGCTCATGGTGCTGAGGGACCTTTGCTGGCTTCAGACAGGCCAGGCCATGGCTGGCTCTGCCCATCACTTTGCGTGTGACCTCAGATCCTCCACCCAGTTCACCTCGTGACTCTCCTCTGTCACTCACGAACTCCTGGAAGGTGTGGGAAGGTTAAAGTACCTGACAGAGAGTTTCCTTGCTTTGTTTTGTTTTGTTTTGTTTTGTTTTATAACATTGAGATCATTCCAATACATAACTAAGTAAAAAAAAAAAAAAAAAAAAAAAAAAGAGAAAGAGGGGACAGGAAATGGTGTAA